GTAGATAGTTGTTGTGCCGGTCGATAATAATTATCACTCCTCTTCTCCAGTGTCGTTGATGCCAAACAGGTTCAAGATTTCGGATATCCGTGTGCAATTGCTCGAGATTCAGGTAGTTATAAAGTAAGCCGTTCTCGATGGTAACAGTAGGCGGAAAGTAATCGTGACGTGGTTGATCAGGAGCTTGCTGGTTTTGCATACGTCGCGCTGGAGGTAAAAAAATTTTTGGTAGTATCTGCTTCTTTTTAACACGCGGATCGAACGAAGGCAATCATTTCGTCGATACCAAGGTTTATTGTTTTTCTTGCTTCTTCTAGTTGATCGACAATGAAATCTTGCAGCGCGGAAAGCATAAAATTAGACAAAAATCACCTGGGTGATTTGTCTTTACAGACAAAATCACTTTCCTGCTTCTTGCTCAGCACAAACTGGTGCGGTATGTACGACAGGTAGTACTTGCTGCTCTTCGGTTTTCGACGTGACGGAGGTTTACTAGGCTCTGGGGCTCACCATACCAGAAATGGATCACAGTCCGATTCTGTAATGCGTGAACAACCGACAGAGATTCACCGATGAAACGACGTAGACGACGACGCGACGGACGACGGACACCGGACGTATGGACGACGACACCGATGAGAAATCAGTTCGTCTTCTCCACAATGACCATACGATTTTGTTGAAGAATAATTTTTCACACGAAGTGAAAATCACGACCGAGTTGACCGATGATTTTGATTTTAGTTTTAGTTGTACAAGCGCAAGAGAAAAGCCGCCATATCCCGTAAAAATGCAATAGAATTGCAAGATAGACGATCCGGAAAGGAAGGTCGTTTGTTATTTTTTGGATATTTTTCCTTGCGGGTACAGTGAGAAAAAAGTTGTATTCCGAAGAGCAAACAAGTTACTCAGCAATCCTATTCTGTTGAATTTGTGATGCGATTTATTCTTGTCATGGTTTGTTGTTACATCGGCATCATCGTCTGGAAAACAAGAAAAAAATCTCTCCATATTTCCTTAGTTTTACTTGCTTTTTCCTTCACCAAAAAAAATAATTGAATGCTAGATGCTCGCGTTAGTTCTCCTAGTGCCACATCGTGCGAGAAAAAAAGAATTCCCTCGCTTCGTTGTCCACCGAAAAAACATTGATAACACAGAATAAGGCATAGTTTTTGTATAAGACCTGTTGTCCACTTGGCACGAAGAAAAAATAGAAGAAATTTCATCGATGTAGAGGTCAAATACTTTTGCATACTAGACTTACGTGAGGACAAAAAAAGATTATTGCGACAACGTGCTAGATGCTTTTTACGATTAGTTGTAATTGTTTCAACCGTTCATCAAAACTTGATTTCACAAAAACTCCCCAAAACGACTGTTGTTCTTTCCGGTAGCGGCGCCAGCAGCGGACGACGTCGATCCCCCGGCGCAGCCCTTGAAGAAGGTTTTCTTTTCCATCATTTTTCCTCCATTCGACGTACTCGATTGTCCTGCTGTTAACCGCTCGTGGATGGCGTGGCGGTCCTTGCTGTCGGGGACAAAACCGCACAACTGGTCCGGGGTGACCGTTTCAAGCCACTGCAAAGATGTAAATTTATCTTTGCCGCGTGGACCGCATTCGAGACTGGCCTGTTGGTAATCAAGTTTCCAACTGCCGTCGAGACTCTTGTATCCCGGGATCGTCAAATGACTGAGCTTGTCTATGCATGACAAACTCGCACTCATGGCCTTGTCCGTCTCTTCCTGCATCTCCTCGGAAACCATTTTTCCTCCCTTTTCGAATTTCCTCCACCGAATAACTTCTTTCTCCAACACAGTGCATTGAAGCTGCGTTTTATCTTGGTAGTTCTGGAACCGCTCCAACAACTTGTCGTGCCGTTTGTTGCACAGCGAGATGGAGACTGCGTGCGCCTGCACCTGTTGCTGGTTCTGCTGCCGCAAGAGAAGGATCTCTTGACGTTGCGTTTTAATCACCTTTTCACGCTCGGCAAGACAAGCATCAAGGTGACAGATTCCGCCTTCCGGGAAGTTGGAGGCAGTAATAGACTCGAGGCCAAGTCGTTCTCGGTCCGGCGATTCGACATTCTCCCGCGGGTGCTGGTGGAAAAGAAGTTTGTGGTCAGGCGGGAGCAAAAAGGTCGAAAGCGCTGCCGCTTTCTTACCGCACGGCGACAGGACGTAACATTCCACTTTTCCAACTACTTCCCGTCCCAAGCAGGGTTGTTTTACTCCCAACTTGTCGGCACCGACGATCTGCAGGCTGAGGTTGCTGGCATCCTCATACTTCCCCCGGAGATAAGTGTATTCTTCCGGCTGGAAGAGATCGGCCGGAGGTTCCACGCGTTGGCGCTTCGCGGGTGACAACTCGATGTCATCCAGAGCGTGAAGCACGTAGTCGACGTCGTACTCCTGCATGGCCGCGGTGGAACCAGAGGGCTTGTCGGAAGAAACAGTGCTGTGGTACAGGGCAGCAACATCTTCTTGGTCGGAAATCAGACCGGTGGAAGGCAAGGAGCGGATAATCGGTCCATCATGAGCAGCGGGCACCGAAGAACTCGGCCCTTTTTCCCCGTGGTGATGACCCTTCTCCACGACCAACTGCGGTAGCATTTCCAAATCCTTTCCTTTCCCTTTCTCGGTGGGCTTGGAGTTGTACGATTCTAAGTCACGCAGCACTTTTTCGTGTTCCTCGTCGATTTCGCGGAGCAGAACACGGGCTTCAGCGTCACCGTCTTGTTCCACCGCTGGGGCAGCGGCGGGCGCTGCAGCTGTCACTTCTTGTTCTACCGCCGGGACAACGACGGACGTAACAGCCGAAACTTCTACTGGAGCGGACGACGCAGGCAACGTGGGATTAGTTTCCGGCTCGGGGATGTTGGGGACAGCAATCACCGGCGGAATCCGGTAGGGTCCAGTCGACGGCAAGAGCCACCGATGCGGCAAGACCACCGGACCGGGCGAGAATATGGAACTCGATGGC